GGGGGGTTGAGATGCAAAACCCGCTAGATCTATATATCCATTTTGGCTGTTTTGAGAGTATCAGCTTTTTAAAATGCTACTTTACGAACGAACTGATTGCAGGAAGTACAACTTTAAGTGGTACGGAGCTGGTCTACCAATACAGCAAGCTTAACAAAAAACAAAACAAAACGTATAATGATTATAATTCTTAAAAATTGGGGTTTGCCCAAACCAACTATATCCCGAAGAAAAAGTCCCTAGATAGATATGCTTTAGCCTTGCCTTTACATTTTTTTGCTTAAATACAGCCACAGACTGCAGTCCTCTCTACAACACTTAGGCTTCGTAGGATAACAAATCTTTTTTCTGCTGGCAGAGGGTGAAAAGGAACTATCTCTGATGAACCTTGATGACCCTGTAAAGAGTACCTGTTCTGGAAGAAAATTGCTCAGTTTCACCTATTGTCAGAGATAATTCAATCCATGGTCACAGCGGCTAAATGTGACTTGTGCAAACACAGTGAGTTACTTCACACAATTCACGAAACGGGGTATCGCCAAAAATCGACATGGGGGTTAAAATTGGTAAATTTTCGATCGATGCCACTTTCTCCCTTTTTAACATGTCTTTTATTATTTCACTTATAAACCGTACAAACTCCACCTATAAATTTGACGTAACTATTTTCATAGTGCTGAAATCCACGAAGTATCTCATTTTGTCAGCACGTCTCACAAATTTCTGTCAGCAGCACTTCATTTAAGGTGATCCAGTAGTCAGTGCATTAGCACTATGAGGATTAAGAATTAAGAGGTTTGAATCCACCTCAAGAGTCACAGCACTGTAGAGTAATGCACGATTATTTAGGCACGCTCACGCAAAACTACACTGACTAATGATAAGTTAATGGATTTTCCTGTTACAGCTCTTCTTGTAATCAGAATTGTTACTCAGGGGTCTATAATAGGGCACAAGTAATTTATCATCGGGTTTGAGTATGAAAGGCCCTCTCCCCAATTCACCAAAGATTCGATTCAGTTGGTGGGCTCATTTTTTTTTCTTATATAATTTTTTTTAAGTAGCTTGTTCAGCAAAATTGTGATGAAAAGGATGTAGTCTCAAAAAACATGAAACAGACAAACACAAAGCTAGATTTACATTATCATTCATTATGAATAAATAAAGCATTGACTTTTCATAAACAAACCTTAATAACATTAGATCTTTATGAAATGACGAAGACCGTCAACAAACATTAAAAAGCTGTTGTTTTGGGCTGAACGAGGACTATACTGTGTACCCTCGTCCACACCCTTTGGGGGAGGAAGTCACGTGACAGGATCAGAGCTTCCCAGATAGAGAACTGTAGATAGGAATGCATAGTCATGTAGATCTACACTCGTACACACACACACACACACACACACACAC